ATTTAATCCTTCGTTTACATCTGTAGCATGGTGACATCACTATGTAACACTCGGGCTTCTATTGGCTAGCGCTTCAACACATTGTACGTGAGAGGCTAAGGGGCGGGACATCTCTAAGCTGTTAACCAATCACAACAGAGCCGGCCAGCTAACCAATCAGAGCAGACTGGGCTCTGGTTTTAGACGGAGGGTGAAAAGAGGTGCTGCAGCACAGGCAGTATGAGAAAAATAAAGAGCTTTTTGAACATTAACGCATGGAGACATGTCACAGAGGAGACACAACATACAAATATGAACCTGAATATGAACCTGATTGGCCCCTTTAATAAACACGTATTGCTCCTGTAATCCTTAGCTGTTTGGCCAGGAGTAATATTAGTTTATTGACAATACAGTTACTATTTTGATCATTATTAAATGGTTTTACAACATTGTTCAGGAAGAAAGGTAAATTATGTGGTTGCTGCTGGTCAATGCAAAACATTTAAAGCGTATTTCAGCCTTTTTAATTAGTCGTTTTGGGATTTTGGACAGATTTTTGAACAATTTAACAGCATTTAAAAAGTCTAAACCTTGAGAAGGAAAAAAAATTGTTTTGCAGGTGACGTTGAATAATGCATGGCAACAAATTGTTGTGTATCGATCACGCTCATATTCCAGCTGAGTGACTGTGCTCTGAAAGAAATGTTTAATGCAGTAGCTGCAGGTTAGCAGACTGCATGACAGGGATGAGGTCCACCTGTGTGTGGTGTGCAGGATGCTGGAGGAAAGTGTATTTTATGTGACTGACATCACAATCAAACACTCAGAAATGCAGAGGAGGATTTGGGACAAATGTTCCAGTGCGTGCGTGCTGAAAGAAAACACTGGGGACTTTAGTTCGAATAACTTTCTTCGGCGCAGTATGATGTACGACTAAAGAAAAATGTCCTTTTTTCTTGTTAGAATTTATTTTAAAACCATACGATACAGTTAACCCACCTGGAAGCATGTTCCTTATAAAGCAAGGAGTAGTCGTATAATAATGTCAGTGTATATGCTTTATGGTTAAAAGAATGACGGATGTGCGGTATCCTCAAGCCTCGCATAGGGAATAACCAGCTAACATGAATAATGTGAGAATATGTAAGGCACACACAGTAAAGGTTTATGACCATGAAAATACTTTTACCATTAGTTGAATTCTTAGGGCTAATAAAAAGATGTCTTCCATTTGAACTCTTTCCAGGATGTGTATCTTTTAAAGAATACTGTGAAACTCCATGTATTATTAGTATAAATGCGCTTTTTGAACAAACAGTATAACACATGTCACAGTAGTGGCACAAAATACAATAAATGACCCTGAAAATAAGAGGGCACCTTTAAAGCCAGAGTTAATACGTTTTGGGAACTTTTTGTAATTCTCTTTTTTAGATGAGACCAAATGTCTAAAAATACAACTAACAAACTAAATTCACTGACTAACATTTTTTTTTGTTATCCTGTCGTTGGATATAACAAAATGATATTGTTGGAAAGCAACAACAAATGCACAGAAAATGAAGTGTAAATTCAAGTTTTACAGGGGTTACGTCCCTGACTGTTACTTCTAATGTTTTATCATTACTGCTCAGCCCCCTTTAAAGCCAAACGTGTATTAGATTGAAGGGCATAATTGATGCTTCATGGTCCAGGGCAGAGCCAAGTTTACTGTTTTCGTGTTTAGCATTTGTGCTAAGCTAACTGGCACCTTGTGGTATCTTCATATTTACAGAGCAGACAAGTGATTGGAATTGATCTTCTCACCAAACTCTCAGCGAAAAAAAAAAAAACTTTCAAATGATTCCTTTGAAATAGTTTGAAGCCATTTCCTCGGGGAAGATTTGAAAAATAAATTGATAAATCCACAAGTGACAGACAGGGAGACTTAGAAAAAAAGGCAATATATTTGACAGCAACTACATGATTACCTGTGTAGATTAAACAAGCTAATTGTTATGGGGATAGATAAATCCCCAGTTATTTTACTCTTAAGTTTTTTTTCCCTCAGGGTAAAGGAACATTTCTATAATTAAAATTGCATCCTGTATTTGTACGCTCGTCACATCAAAGAATCCTTTGAGAAATATCTTGATGTTTCTCATTATCAGGGTTTCGCGTGTGTGTGTGTGTGTGTGTGTGTGTGTGTGTGTGTGTGTGTGTGTGTGTGTGTGTGTGTGTGTGTGTGTGTGTGTGTGTGTGTGTGTGTGTGTGTGTGTGATGATTTACCACCTCTGTTAGCGAGTCACAGAGCAACATCGGAGATAAACACTGCAGGAAACCCCTGGCAATTCACAGAGAAATAAACAGGTTGTTTCTGTAAACAAAGCCAATTGATAACTCTTTTAATGTGCCATTCCTTGCACACTTATTTTTCAAATGATGTGCAATTATTTGAACATGCTGCTGTAATGAAAACAGTAAAGTAGGCAAGGCAAGTTTATTTATACAGCACCTTTCAGCACATTCAAAGTGCTTTACAATTTAAAATAAAGTATATATTTTCTTTTAAAAACCGGCAAGACATGCTGTAGATCTTTGATTAAAGGATGAATATGGACACATAGGCTGTGAAAGAGAAGCCTGGCTGATGTCTAGCACAACACCCCCCCTCTATTTCCTTTAGCATGTCTCAATAACCTTCAAAGTATCCCCTCTCCATATCTGCCTCTGTGCCATCCGCATGCAGCACGCATCCACAGGGCCGCGTGACAAACACCCTGAAACGTCGTACTCTAAATTCCCCCGTCTCTCTCTGTGTGCGTTTGTAGTGGAGCTCTCCACCAGATTAACTTTAATTCCAAAATGAGATATCCACCATTTTATAAAAATGCTCTGCACTCTGCCTGGAAGCAAGCACTCAGTAATGGAACATCTCTGAATGCAAGAGCAGAGTCACACCCTGTGTAGATGAAAAGACTGAACATTTTGTTCTTACCTAATGAACATGTAAGGAGTGAAGCCTGCACATTTCTTTTATTTTGATGAGGGATTTCTTTTTTTAGACTTCTGGTTGAACAGCAGGGTTGTGCTCACTCTTACACAGCGTCTTTGACAGCTAAGGCCTCATTAGGAGAATGTTGTACTTCACAATATAGTATTCACGCTCTTTTTTGTCCATTATTCTCAGACTGACCGAGTAAAGCCAGGCAGCTCCACCATTTTTTTGGTTGTCACTGAAGATTTAGCATTGTTTAAAAGTGCTAATTATTCAGAGCAACAGGTATAACAATCCTGACTCAGTCTCTTAGTATTAGTTTGGACGCAATCATTTAGCGCTGAAAACATTAGTCGGCAACATTTTCGCTATTCGAATAATCATACATTTTTTGGTTTGTCTCTTTTTAGGATTTAACATGTAATTTAAAATGCTTTATCGCTATCTTTACATGCAACAGATGGCTGGGTCCAAACCACAGCCCTTAGAAAATGTCCGAGGCATCCGTGGAATTTTAATGAGGAAAAACGCTGCTTTGTTTTGAAGGCCACGGATACATTTTTTGTGTCTGCTGTAGTCACATATATAAGACCAAAAACCATGTGATTTAGGAGACTGTAAAGGATCAGACAACGCCAGAGAACAAAGTATGTTTAAGCGACGAAGACCTCAAGCAGCCTTAGAAATCTTTACTCCTAACTGTCGGGGAGTCAGGGAGGAAGATCTGTGTAAAAACCTTTTATAGTCCCAAAGTTGGCAGAGGAGCGGGTCAGGGTTTATGGACGGCAAAATATACGACTCAGATAAGGAAAGCCTTTGATTCCTGTTCGCAGTTCATGACCATGATCTTTCTCTTATTTTAACCAAGTCAGTCATTTGACAAAAAATGTAAAAACTGCACAAAATGTGAAGTAGTTGTTTCTTTTCAAATATTCTGACCTTTTGTTGACTTAACTATTCGTTACTTTTGTTTGTCTTGACTAGGGTCTTTTTGTACTTTAATCGGACCAAACCTTTATGACAGAGGATTTAAAATGTGTCTTTGCCGTTTCATTTCAAGGACTCACAAAACAAAACGTTTATCAGTCCCATGAATATGTCAGACATGAAAACCTTTAGCAGTGTAAGTAAATATTAAAATGTCTCCTAATGGCCAATAGGTGACAGATACTAAGAAATCCTTTATTCATCTCACAGCGGGGAGTAAGTGAATGATTGAATGCAATTTGTGTAAATTGCTTTGAGGGTGTATGTTATGCATTACGTTTAATTGAAAGTCTTTTTCCCTTAACATCCATTCTAAACGAGTCTGATAATGGCTCATATTTTTAAACCAACTCCCATACCGTCAGTTACTGTTTAAAACAATAACAAATAATGTGTTTCTGATTTTAGAAATGAAGACTTGCTTCCTGTAGGGCCTGTTACTGTTCACCTCAGTGATTACTGTCTTCTCTGTCTTGCTCTCTCCAGCAGAGGCACCTCCCTCTGGGATGTCCAAGAATGGATACTTCTTTCAGGAAATGGGTGAGTCTGAGCCAACACCAGAACATACAGCATCAATGTAACGTACACTTGAATTTAAAACACATTTCCACATTGGAAAACAAAGCAGCCAATAATAAGGGATCCATGAGTGAGAGAATAAAAGTGTGATCCTATTATTATTCGCACGTATTTGCTGCCAATAAAGTGGTGTAGGAATGAGTCCTAAACCAGGAAAAGAGTTAGCATCTTAGCACGTCTGGTGCCCTTAGGCGCTTTCACAACGGAGTACTTTTCCCAGGAATAGTTCCGATAGTTCCAGGGATTTTGCGTTCACACCAAAAAGATCTGGAACTACAACTTTGCTTTTGCAAACCTTTTTACCCCTTTTTAGTCCCTGCCAGAGAGCAGGTACTTTCCTGGGAGAAAAAGGTTCCCATTTCTGATTGGCTAGGCAGATTGCAAACCACGCCCCGTAAAACTCCGAAAAGTTTTGTGAAGCCGCCATTGTATTTGCTGGCATTAGCATTATTAGCATTAGCCCCGCGCACCAACGCAGAGAGACTAACTTATGGCAACACAAAAAAAAACATGGGAGCGGTGGAGATGAGGAGGTGTCAGCGCTTCTGGCGATTTGCGCGGAAGGCTTCAGTAGAAGCTGCTGGGACTCCCTTCTACTGAAGCCAGTCCCCAACTCCGGGGACTTCCGGCCGGGGACTTCGGGTGGCAGTATACGCCGTGAAGCCTGCCAGTAAACCGAAAGCAGAAGAAGAAGAATGGACGTCAGCGGCTTCATTTGCCTAATCCTCCCTTAGGGACTTATTCCGGTGGGAAAGCGATCTGCTCTTTAGTTCCGATGAACTAAGTACTAGGAACTAAGTAAGGCAAAGTTCTTGGTGTAAAAGCGCCTCTTGTCTTGAAGCCAATGGTTTTTTGAACGTGTTTTTGGTTAGATGCCTAAAATATGGTCTGTGGTTAACACTAGTTAAGGAGATTATCACGTTTTCTTCTGCGACATCAAATATTTCAGTAAAAACCCAACTCATGAACTTCTGCTTTTAGGTGTCTTTACAAAGCGGTTGCTAACAACTGAGTAATGAGAGGACCAAATATTAGCCGCCTTTAGCTGGCGGTGGTGTCATAAAGTCATGCAACTTTGATGTCATTTGTTTTTAGCCTTACGTTAGCTTTATACTTCTGGTGATTGCATTTACGCTTCAAAAATTATAAAGATGATAGCATTTTTTTCCTGATGAACAAAACATGTAAGTAGCATAAGCGTTACTTCGCCACAGAGCTTATTTTCTTCAATACTCCAGTCGAAAAAATCCCATGGGCTTTTTTGGAGGGATGATGCTACGATGCTAACTTCCCACGCGGACTCACTGCACTACACTATAATGTCTGCTGTAGAATATATCCATAATGAAAGATGTGATTTAAGATTAGTGCTGCTGCACAGACTCACACTCCACTGCATTTGGATATAAATAATGAACTTTGCTCCGCTGTAATGATAACGGCGGTTTCATTACCTTCAAGCCAAGGAGAGGTACCCAATTAGTATGTGCAGCACAAGCAGGCAGGACAGAATCGGCGTGCGTCGGAGCTCCCCGTCTCCCCCAGCTAATTATTCCCGACCTGCAACACACCAATTCAGTCGGCAGAATAACACAAGGCCCCCTGCTGCAGCCCAACATAACTGTCTTTATTAGGCAACCTTTTATCAGTATATAAATGCAATTACATTATCGTAGGCGAGTAAGCATTATCCACCATTGTCTCTTCTCAAAGGTTCATTAGTGGGGGTGGGACGGGAAGCCGAACGCACTCGGAGATCAAAGGCTGTGAGCAGGGTGACATGAAATATAATATTTGTTGTATTTATTGCACTGTAGAAGTGATGCTATTATACCAGTGCCTTCTGTGTCTTTATGTTCTTTATCAGTGCGTTAATAGTTGATGTGTTTCTGAGTCATATCAACTATTAATGTGATTACGGATGCTCAATTTGGGTTAAATTATTCTCTTTGTGGCCTAGATACAGAGGAGGAAAAAGCAAAAAGCTTGTGAAGAATAGGAATATTTAGTCCATTAAAAAAATATATTATCAGTAGGGCCGGGACTCGATTAAAAAAATTAATCTAATTAATTAGAGGTTTTGTAATTAATTAATCGAAATTAATCGCATTTTTAATCACATATAAATATTTGACCTGAGAACAGTGAGAAGATGTCAATAAAGTGTGCCGTCACACAGAGGTAATTTGAATTGCTTACCGAGGTCCAATGATCCCCAGTCAGGGCAACACATTCGGCTTTCTCCAATAAATTCTCTTTATCTTCCTTTTCATTGTCATAAAGCTGCTGGATTCTTTTTGTCACTGTCTTTCTGCATGGCAGCTCATATGTTGTGTCAGACGATGCAATCTGTAGTAACTTTTGCAGCCCCTTATCTTCTACCACTCCAAGTGGTCTACAGTCGAGTGTAATCCAGTGAGCTGGTTATTTTTTCAGACGTGGACTTAGTTATCCTGGCCCTGAAACCAGTCATCTGGTTGAGTGTGGGTTGGGTGTGGGTCATACTTGTCAACCGATTTTCGCGGGAGATCCCGATTTCATTGCCCTCTCCCGGTTCCCTCCCGGGGTCATATTTTCCCGATTTCTGACAAAATCAGATTTACACACGACTGTTTCCACTCGGACTTTAATACAGCTACACCATTGTTTGGTTTCCATGGTAACACGTCTCTTTAGTAGCGCGCGCAACTCAAAGTCTGAGAGGATGACGCAGATATTCACAGAAAACAGAACGAGAATCGACAACTACTCTACTCTCTGCTCACTCCTTTCCTGTAAAATACAGGTCCAGCCCACACATATGCTCCATCAAGGACGGTGCTACAGGCCGCAAGGCAATGCACTTACAACTACAATAAGCATGTTAATGGTAATCTAACAGCTCCGGCGATCCACTAGCACCCCCCCCCCCCCCCTGCTTTTGAAATGCTATCTTCCGATTAGTGCAATACGAAGCTACAGGACGTTGTAACGGATCGGGCTAATATTAGATTCCACCTTATTTAAACACATCTTTTACGGAACGAGATTTAAACATACAGCCCATGTAGTATCAATAATGAATTACAGCAACATGTGCAATATATCACATTATTGAGCAGCTCTGTGGGATGGCAAGTAAGACCATGATGGGTGCCCGTTTCTTATTTGTGCATTCCATCGGGTAAAAGATAAACCGGCAACTGGCACATTGGTTTGCTCATAAGCACGCATCTCTGTAAACTACGTGTATTCAAGCTGAATTTTCACTTTCTGCCTTTAACGCTCGCTTGTAGCTGCCAATAAGGCTCCATCCCCTCACCCTCCTGTGAGCTCAGTGTGCCTGATTGGTGCGGAAGACGTGCCTGAACACGTAACATGAACGGGGCCGGGCGGCCGCGGTCCCGTGCGGTTACGATGGCGGCGTTCTTAATGCAGAGGGAAATAAGCTCTCAGAATAACGTTATTGCAAACATCTTTACAAACTTGCGGAACGATGTCTTTTATACCCGGGCTATACAGTGTTATACTAGGGTGGTATTATTTAGTTTAAAAAAAATTTATCCAACGATTTGCAGACCACTCGTTCCCATCTAAGTCAATGGGAAAAAGCGTTTCCGGACGGCTGCAACCAAACGGAAGTGTAGTACCGGCCGTTTGCCACCACGAATATGAGTCAGCGCACTTTCCTTGGGGCTTGCCTACGAGCGGGCAGCGGAGCACCAGAGCGGACCAGGCAGATAACGGATATTGCAGTTTTATTGCTTATAGACTTGATCCGAACATTTCACAAGGGGCACACGCCACCATTGGATATTAGAACCTATGGACGTTAACTTACATCCATTGCGTTGTTATCGTTTTAATGCCACTGAAGAGCCCAGTTTAGACCAGACAAAGACGAAAGCGTAAGGCCCATGTTAGCATTGTGTAGGCTACCTAAGCGGCCCACTGTTTTGATGTACGTTTTTTATTGATAAGCGTGCCGAAGTTCGTATCTGAGGTGGGTCACCGTTAGATCTGTGTTTTACGATCATAAAACGATGTGTATGGATGTGCAGCCTAGGATAATAATAAGGGAGCCTAGGAGTGATTTTTGCGGTGGCAAGGTAAATAGATTTACAGAATGTTTTCGCTTCGGGGCCTAATTCCAGCAGGGCTGCAGCTGTTAGCATTGAGTGGGCCTAAGAGGATAAGGCAGAGTATGTTTTTTTAATTTAATTATTTATCTTTTTTCAAGCAACAGTGTTGTATTTGGATGGAACTGAATACCTATAGTGATAATTCAAAGTAATAACAATCATTTTTACAGTGAAAAAAAGGTCAAATGGACTGTTGGTTTCCCAAATTACCCAGAGGTGAGTCCGCCTGGACCTTTATTTTTCCTAAACCCTCTAAAAAGGGGTAAAGTTTCACTTGTTTTGCATCAATATTCCGATACAGGGTATTAGCTAATATGTTATAGTTTTGGATTTCTAAAGGCTTTTAGTACCTACCCTAACCCATCATGTCAGGGTGGTGTTTCAACTATAAGTATGTTTTTTTTTAGGCCGGACCATAGAATTTACTTACATGTTTTTACTAAATGTTCATCTGAATTTATTTAAAAATAAAAACATCTAATATTGATGCTGACACTTCTAACATCGCAAGCCAGCAATGTAAACGTTGCTTTGAGAAAAAAAAGATGAGTTAATTTACGCCCTTTGAAAGTGAAGGATATAGTCTTGCTGTGTACGTGGCATTTTCGAGGCCTGAACCTGAAAAACAGGCCAGGGCTTAAGAGGTTACATTAACTTCACAATGGATTGGAGGGTTTCTTTGCGTTGACTCTACTCACATCACATTAAAGGTGAAGCTATCATACAAAATGGCAGATTTTGTAACGCGTCTTTTATACATGTGTCCGGCCGGTGTTCCAGGAACTCACCAAGTGTCCAGAAAACCAACCATCTCTATTTTCTCCCATACCCAAATCTCTA